TTACTGACACATGTTGAGCTTGGATTTATGAGTTAGCTTGTTAGCCCAGTAAACTGACACTAAACTTCAGATTTACGGGTTAGCCCGGCAAAACTTAGAGCAGTAAACCGACATTTATCACACTTAGATTTGTGACTTACCTTGTTAGCCTAGCTGGGCTTTTCCTTCACATGAGGACACCTCTCCCACACCCAGGGACCTACTGTTAGCCCTTGTTGGTTCTACAAATGTGGGGTGTGGTTTACCCAGGAGGGATGGGAACTATGCACCAACACTCAGGCAGTCTGCTCTGCCTGGGGCTCTGATCTTGTACCACCCCGCTCCCCGCTAGCCCGACAGCTGGGACATTGGAACTAAGGCAGAGATCGTGCCTGCTTGTTTCCCAGCGTGTAAAAGGGGAATATGTACTCTTCCCAAGGTAGTTCTGAGCGACAACACCTGCGGGTGCTTGGTTCCCAGAGCAAAAGAAAACCCAGCTCCGCGTGGGGGCATCGGGTGGAGGGCTGGACCAACGAGGTAAAACTTCAGCTGCGGGTCTTGAAGGGTTACAGAAGGGTACAGAGGCAGTACTGCTGCCTCCTTTGGGGTGCCCCCAGAGGTAAAGATTTTTCTCTTCGCTAAGACCCTCCCCTATCCAGATCCCTCTCTTCTCTCTGCTCTTCCTGTCCATCTATCTCCCTCCACTTTTCCCCTCCTCTCCTCCCCCTGCCATCTTCTTCCTTCCTCGCTGCCCCACCTTCTCTCGCAGCACCCAGAGAGGATCGCTGGCCTTCCTGCGCATGCGCAGTGGGTGCCAGCTGGACCGCGGTTTGGAAGCTCCAGCTCCGAGCAGGGGATCGGCCCCAAAGGCTTCTCAGCTCTGTAGCCCGGTAAGCCTTTGGCTACTGCCTGGGGCCGGGCTTCTGGCTGTGGAAGTGCAAGGTGGGGAGCTCCCGGGAAAGTGGTCAGGCGGCTGCAGGAGGGCGGTCCGCGTGTCACAGCCCTCAGGGAGCCAGTCAGCCTGTGTCCAGCTGAATTGCTCGGGCCAGACCCCTCTGCCCACGCCACCTGCCCCGGCGCCCCAGGCACACCTGTCCAGAGCGAGGTATGCACCTGCCGTCTCTCACCCAGCCGGGCTCCCCTCAGTCCGCGGCTGGCGTCCGCTTCCCCTCTCCCGCCCGCGAGTCCTCCCCTCCCGGGCTTCCTCTCCTAGGCCGCCGACCCGTCCCCACCACTGGGCGGGCTGTGTCCCAGGCGGGAAGGGTCTGCGGACATGGACAGGTAGCTGGGGCTGGGGCTGGCCTCCCAGCAGGGCTGCAGCCCGT